GCGCTACCTTTCATGTGACCCCTAGGCGAGACTGGTTTGCATCTTTTGAGAAAGTCGACGGGGGTGTTGTTGTCATGGGAAATGATCAATCCTGTGGCGTTTGTGGGATAGGTACCGTGCGGATTAGGATGCATGATGGAGTAGTCCGTGAGTTGAAGGAGGTGAGATTTGTTCCTCAACTGAAGAAAAATCTTATCTCAGTTGGAGCTTTGGAGACGAAGGGATTCAAGGTGACTTTCGAAAACGCTGTAGCGAATGTTACTAATGGATCATTGGTGGTGATGAGGGGAGTCCGCAATCGAAATTTGTATTATCTGAAGGAAAGCACCGAGATTGGCCAGGTTGCTTCGGCTATTTCAGAAGCGGACATGAGCAGACTTTGGCACTATAGATTGGGGCACACAGGTGAAAAGTCACTGCAGGCATTGTGCAAGCAGGGGCTATTGAAGGGAGCCAAGAGTGGGAAGATTGAGTTCTGTGAGTACTGTGTTCTTGGTAAGAAGACGAAGGTAAAGTTCGAGACTGCTATTCATCAGACGAGTGGCATCCTGAACTACGTGCACACAGACGTTTGGGGTCCTACCACGACTGCATCACTTGATGGTCGACATTGGTTCGTCACTTTTGTAGATGACTATTCTAGGCGATGTTGGGTGTACACCATGACGAAGAAGAGTGAAGTCCTAGATTTGTTTGTGGAGTGGAAAAAGAGATTGAAACTGCAGACTGGGAGAAAGATCAAGACGTTACGATCCGACAACGGTGGTGAGTATACTTCTGACCCCTTTCAGCAGCTATGTCGAGACGAGGGCATAGAGAGACACTTCACAGTAGTCATACACCGCAGCAAAATGGGGTGGCAGAGAGGTTGAATCGGTCTTTACTGGAGAAGATCCGATGCTTATTGTCGCAGAGTGGTTTGGAGAAGATCTTTTGGGCTGAGACACTTACATATGCGATCCACCTCATTAATAGGTTGCCTTCATCTGCGATTGAGGGGAAAACCCCTATAGAGATGTGGTCGGGAAAGCCAGCACATGACTATGACCAGCTCAAGGTATTCGGGTGCCCTGCATATTATCATGTTAGAACTGATAAATTGGAACCTCGAGCTAGGAAGGTCATATTTGTAGGATTCAAACGTGGTGTCAAGGGATACAAGCTTTGGGATCCAGTTGATAAGAAGATTGTGCTGAGTAGGGACGTCACGTTTGATGAAGCTTCTATCTTGAAGCTTCCTAGCTCTCATCAGGTGGAGAGCGACCCTACAGAGGAGATATCGCAGGTGGTGGAGATCGATACAGCTCCACATTGTCCAGATGGTACAGTATCCATGCAGGTGCCGACTGAGGTGACGCCAGGCGAGCACGACGGTGACACGGAGGATACGAGTACAAATGTGCAGGATCAGGAACCGACGGCTCCGGTTCAGGATTCTATTGCGGCTAGGAGACAGAGGAGAAACATACAGATGCCAGCACGGTATGCCGACACAGTTGCGTATGCACTTCCGGTGGAGAGTATCGATGAGTTAGTGCCTACTACATTCAGAGAGGCCGAGCAGAGTTCGGAGGCTGATTCGTGGCAGGTGGCTATGCAGGAGGAGATGGAATCTCTTCATAAGAACGATACATGGGAGCTTGTTGAGCTTCCAAAGGGGCGGAAGGCAATTGGTTGCAAGTGAGTATACACGAAGAAGGAGGGCATTGAGGGCACTCCATTAAAGCTAGGTTGGTTGCGAAGGGCTATGCACAGGAGGAAGGAATAGATTATAATAAGGTTTTCTCTCCGGTGGTGAAGCACTATTCGATTCGGATTTTGCTAGCTTTGGTGGCACAGTATGGTTTGGAGTTAGATCAGTTGGATGTGAAGACGGCATTTCTTCATGGTGATCTTGATGAAGAAATATATATGACTCAGCCATTGGGATTTCGAACTACAGGGAAGGAAAAATTAGTTTGCAGATTGAAGAAATCGTTATACGGTTTGAAACAGTCTCCTCGACAGTGGTATAGGCGTTTTGATGGTTTTATGCTTGGTCATTCGTACACTCGGAGCCAGTTTGATCCTTGCGTATATTTTCGCAAGTTGAAAGGAGGTGCGTACATTTATTTGTTGCTCTATGTCGACGACATGTTAGGTCGGCTATAGATGAATTGAAAGTTCAGTTATCAAATGAGTTTGAGATGAAAGACTTGGGTGAGGCGAAGCGCATTCTAGGGATGGAGATCGGCAGAGACAAGAAGAAAGACAGAATTTGTTTGACACAGGTGGCTTATTTGAAGAAGGTTCTACAGCGATTCCATGTTAGCATGGATACGAAGCCAGTTAGTGTACCTTTAGGAGCCCATTTGAAGCTTTCAGCTGGTCTTTCACCGAAGTCAGTTGAAGATCGTGAGTTGATGTCGAATACTCCATATGCGAGCGCAGTTAGGAGCTTGATGTATGCAATGGTATGTACGAGACCAGATTTATCACAGGCGGTGAGCATGGTTTCTAGATACATGCACGATCCAGGAGTGAGTCATTGGGACGCTGTGAAATGGATTTTGAGGTACATTCGAGGTACGCTCAATGTTGGTTTAGTTTATGAGCGGGACACTACAGGTGGGCAATTATGCATTGGTTATGTTGATTCGGATTATGCCGGAGATTTGGATAAACGCCGGTCTACTACGGGGTATGTGTTCACTTTGTATGTTGATTCGGATTATGCCGGAGATTTGGATAAACGCCGGTCTACTACGGGGTATGTGTTCACTTTGATCTGTGCGCCGGTGTGCTGGAGATGCACCTTACAGTCGACGGTGGTTTTGTCTACGACGGAGGCAGAGTATATGGCAGTTACGGAGGCTGTGAAGGAGGCTATTTGGCTTCGAGGACTTTTGGAGGAACTTGGTATATCGCAGAAGTCCGTCACTATTCATTGTGATAGCATGAGTGCTATCTATTTGGCGAAGAATCAGGTTTTTCATGCGAGGACGAAGCACATTGACGTTCGTTATCACTTCGTTCGGGATGTTCTTGAAGATGGCGATGTGGAAATTATGAAAGTCCACACGAAGGATAATCCGGCGGATATGCTCACTAAGGTGGTTCCGAGCAACAAGTTTGATCATTGCAGAAACTTGTTGAATATTTGTATTCGTGATTGTTGAGGCCGTTGGCGGCCATTTGGGTGAACTACGTTCGGCTTGATTCCTTGGGCAAGAGGATACGTAGGCAGTCTTTCAGATGCAGCCGGTTTGGATTTTGATGGGGGTGAGATTGTTTGGACTCTCGTTCGGGTTCTCGACTTGTTGTAGATTGAGTTCGTACTGGACACAACAAGTGGGACATTTGGATGCTTTGGTGTCGGCTCAGTTTTGAGAAAACTTCACCGAGGTGGAGAATTGTGAACGTGAAGTGGGGGCCACGGTTGGGAAAATTGCGTGAGCAGCAACGCGTTTTTTTGTTTCCACGTGAATAAGTGGCCCACGTGCGGTCCAAATTAACCCTACAGCTATATATATCTCTTCAATCCTTCCTAGGGTTTGTAGCAAGTACGAAAAGGGGAAAAGTGGCGGTGTGCAAAGAGAGTTTGTCCAGTCAAAGGGAAAAGTCGCCGTTTGGTTTTCGGCTGTGGGTTTTGTTCTCTTGACAGAGGAGTTTCTTTTGTTTTTTGTTTTTTTTTGCGGCTGCAGTTGAGGAGATTTTGTGTAGTCTCTTTCAGGGTTTTGTGCATCCCTTTGAGAGGTATTTGTGAGGGATTTGAGAGTTTGTTTGAGGGTTTAGATTGTGAGTGATTGTAAACCCTAGTTGTATTCTCTCCCTCTATTAGTAGATCTCCCCCCTCCTTGCCCCGTGGATGTAGGCAATTTACCGAACCACGTTAAAATTGGTTGTACTGCTTTTGTGTGATTTGTAATAGCTTTTAGGGTCCCTCGACGCGCAGTCCTAGAGCTGACGAGAGGAAGAGCTAATATCCCACTTTGATGAGATATTAGGCTTCATATTCTTGTTCCCTTTGAGAAACAAGAATTCTTATTGCGACCCGACTCTCTTGTTGTGCTGCCGAAGTGCTGCCGAAATTTCCGCTGCGCGCAACACCAGCAAGCCAAACATAGGGAAGACACTAAGGGCATGTTTGTTTCGCAAAAAATTGAAGAAAGTGGGGGAAAGAAAATGAATTTTGATGTTTTTCTCTACTTTTTGATGTTTGGTTCGTCAAAATTCGGAAAGAAATTGAGGGAGAAAATGAGTTGTCACTATATTATTGGATGAGATGAGTAATTTTTGATGTTTTCCTCCACTTTCTTTATTTTTTGTTCTTTCTTGTGTTTGGTTCATTTTTAAAACTAAGAAAATAAATAAGAGAAAATGAGCTGTCATTATATTATTAGATGATGTGACTCATACTAGGAAAATCAATTTCCTTATTTTTTTTGGAGGAAAGGGATAGAAGGAAATTTTAATGAGATGTGATGAGTTGTCGCCATATTATTGGATGATGTGAGTAATTTTTAAAAGATGGTAGAAAATGAAGGAAAGTTAGGTGAGGTGAGTTAGATGAGTTGATTGATGTGACTCATTTCTTGTGTTTAGTTTATTTTTAAAAGTAAAAAAAGAGATGTGATGGGATGAGTTGTCACAATATTATTGGAGGAAAGTGGAGAAAGTGAAGAAAAGTGGGTTAAAGAAAGTGGGGGAAAGTGAAAAAGTGAAGGAAAGTGGGTTTTGGATTCTGGGGGAAACGAAACAAACAGGCCCTAATAAGAATACAAGTAATTGGTCTGGGGCATCTATGATGCTCCATCCTTTTTCTAAATTTTTTTTTAAAAAAAGAACAGAAAATAGATGATTCGCAACTTTGTCATCAGTATTAAGAGAAAACTGCAAACCAACTCAATAAGCATTATAGAAAATATTCAAGCATCACGAGAAAATCGTAGTATAGAGAGCAGTAGCTGAAATAGAAGCAAAACATTCTGATGGTACTTGCTTACTGAAAGGATTATTACCAGCAGAATATCTTCATCAGTGCCATAGGATTTTCGTGCTTCATCAAGGCACTTCAAAGAAACTCTCACATATTTCCTGCAATTTTTCAGAAGATGAGCAATATTTCAACCCAATCTTCAAAGATCATATAGTATCAAAGTTCCAATACATGAATTTAGCCAACTCGTGGACAAGACAAATGAGCATCTGGAAGCAATACGTTTCGGTGTTGCAATGCATGACAGAAGTACATTAAAAGAAATCATTGGGTGAATGACACTGAAATTCATGCTTTTTATAGCCAATGCACAAGCTGCTTTGCTGATAAGCAATTTGTAATGCATAACCATAAAAGGTAGGGACGTCTTACCAAGTGCAGGATTCTAAATTCTTTACTCATTTAATAGTTTCGTATTCCATGCCACAAAATAAAGGGGGTCTATTGCAGTGCCATTGAAAGCACTACAGTTAACATGCTAACATATATTGCCACTTCAGGGCAATTGTTGTTTTCTAAAACATCATAATCATCTAAATGTAAGATGTCCTCCTCCACATCTTAACACTGACATTTCAGATATAATGGGACTCACTGAATGGTGCTCCCTTTGCTGATTTGTGTAATCACCTGAACGATTCTTTAGTTACAGACCCTGCTCTTACTGTTGACATGATTATCCACGATATACAACAGCTCGATTTGTCACAGAGCATTTTATTAGAACGAACTGTTGCAGTTTATATTATTTTCATGTAGATCCAATAATACTGTTAGCATAACATGGAGATGATGCAGATAGCATAACATGGAGATGATGTATAGTGACTCAAGATTGATTCATTGATCAGATAAAAACTGATAATACAAATAGGATAAAGTTTTATGCATGTACTCTCGCAGTTACAAAGACATGTGATTCACAATTAGATGTAAATTGTGTCTGGAAAGCATATTCATTGAGCATATAACAGGAGTTTTACACATGATAAAATAAATTTAACAATTGCAGGACATGGGGAAGATAATTTAGGTGAATCACTTACAGTTCCGGGCTGATGCAATTAAAACGTAGAAGTTGCTTGAACATGACAAAACAAATTTACTGAAATGTATGCCATAGAGAAATAATTTAGGTACAACTAATTTCATTTACGACTGATGCAATAAAAACATAGAACTAGCTCAGATACCAACAATACATAGAACTCGCGAAGTACTAAAACTTGACAGGTAAAAGAAACAGGCCAAAGGCAACATATTGATATAATCTCTCCACATTTCAGCTAATGCTTATTCTTAGTATCTCACTATGCAATAAGGATGAGTTATGTGATACCTAGAGCTGGCAGGATCTCTTATTTCAAATTCTTTGGTATCTGCATCATATCCACATAATATGACATAATGCCCTGAAAGATATGCAAAGAGTTAGAAGATTGGTTCCACAGTAAG